TGGTGGGATGGAAGAGATGAGTGGTATCTCTGAGGGTCTGTGTCAAGGACCCCCAGGATGGCATTGACCCACAGAGCATCACCCTCCTGCCCCCCACCAATTCTTGGGCATCTAGTTGCCTGACCTGTGGAGCAGCCAGGTTTCAGCACCTGCATCACTCCCAGCTGCAAAGGTAGGAGCCCCCACAGCCTGGGGACCCCTTCCCCAGAAAATTAGAAAATTCCATCCTGACATCCCCATTTTCCACAGGGCTGTATTGCAGTGGCTGCTACAGAACCCTGAACAATATCTGCTCCGTGTGCATGGCCCCGCTGAGCTACCCGGATCTGGGGATGAGGAGCTGTGAGCAGAGGGGTGCTGGGAGCCCACCTGAGCCTGGGGGGCTGCAGGGGGTGTGAGAGGGGGAGCTGCAGCTCAGCCCTGCCCTCTGTGCCCTGCAGGGACTCCAGTGATGAGGAGACAGCAGGGCTGGGGCTGGTTGTGCGAGGGCAGCGGCTGCAGCACATCAAGGACATCATCAGGGGCTGGAGGGTCCCCTCCAGAACAGCTGCCCAGCTGTGAGCCCAGCTGGAGGAGGTGGAAAAGAGTGAGGAGAGGGATGTGGGCAGCAGTGGGGTCAACAAGAGCAGATTGCTCTGCAGGTGAGGGCTGGCTGTGGGGTGGCAATGCCCCTTGTGCTCCCCAGCACTGGGGATGCTGGATGCCAATGCTGCACTCCAATCTCCCAGGAAGACTCCAGCTACCAGCAGCAGGCCAAAAACAGTGAAAAAGAGGGCAAGGGCCCAGTGAAAGCAGGACAGTGCCATGGGGCAGCAAAACCTCGGGTCCAGGTGCTGGGGTGTGCCTGGAGCCAGCCCCACCAGTGCAGCAGAAGCTGAGAGCCACTGGGTGGGGAAGGGCTGGTGAATAAATCACCTGGACCTCAAGGCACCTGAGTCCTGGTACTCTGAGTTGGCATCCACCATTCCAGGATGGTCCTGACCTTGTGATACCCCAGCTCCTTGCTGCCCCGGCTCCATCCCTGCTGTGCCCCCAGCCTCTCAATGCCCCCAGCCCCATCTCCAGCACCTTGGTGCCACCATCTCCATGCCCACTGTGCCTGCAGCCCCTACACATCCCTGTCCCCAGCCTTTATGGTGTCCCTGATCCCACCCCTGTGGTGCCCCCAGCCCCATGGTGACTCCCACCCCTCGGTGTCCCCCTCCCCACACACGGTGTCCAACCCAATCCCCATCCCCGTCCCCAGCCCCACAGTGCCCCGAGCCCCGAGATGCAGAATATGCAGAATGGACAGACAGCTGGACGCGGGGGAAGTCCCTGCTTCTCCGTTTATTACCAAGCAGCCTTCGTTTAAAAAAAAAAACAAAACAAAACAAAAACAAAACACAGACATACAGACAGGCAGAGGCGGCCCGGCGGGGCGGGGGCCGCCCGCCCATGGTTTTTGTTTGGTTCCTGACACCAGAGAGGTTCAAGTAGCCGAAAAAGGTTCAAGTTCACCATAAGGCACTTTAAAGCCATGACGGGAGCAGAGCCCCCCCGGCCCCATCACCCCTGCGGGCACCCCATGGCACACGTGGGGGCCGGGCAGCGCTGGTG